ATATAGTATATTCAATAAATGGTGTCGAAAATTGGATAGATATGTGCAAAAAATAAAATTAGACCACCTTCTCACACCATATACAATAATAAACTTAAAAGGATTAAAAACTTAAATGTAAGACTCAAAATCATAAAAATTCTAGAAGAAAACATTGGTAGTAAAATCTCAGACATTACTTGCAGTAATTTTTTTTTCTGATATGTCTCCTCAGGCAAGAAAAGATAAACAAATGGGACTACGTCAAATTAAAAAGTTTTTGCACATCAACAAAATAACCATCAACAAAATGAAAAGACAACCCACTGAATGGGAGAACATATTTACCAATAATACATATAGGGGTTAATATCCAAAATTTATAAAGAACTTATACAACACCATAGGAAAACCAAATAATCCAATTAAAAAAATGAATAGATCTTTCTCCAAAGAGAATATACAGATGGACAATAGATATGTGAAAAGATGCTAAAACCACAATGAGATATCACCTGACACTTGTCAGAATGGCTATCATTAATAAATCAGCAATCAAGTGCTGGAGAAAAAGAAACACTTGAGCACTGTTGAGAGGAATGCAGATTGGTGCAGCACTGTGGAAAACAGTATGGGGTTTCCTTTAAAAATTAAAAATGGGTCAAAGCCGGTTTGGCTCAGTGGTAGGGCATCGGTCTGCAGACTGAAAGGTCCCAGGTTCAATTCCGGTCAAGGGCATGTACATTGGTTGCAGGTACATCCCCAGTAGGGGGTGCGCAAGAGGCAGCTGGTCGATGTTTCTTTCTCATCGATGTTTCTAGCTCTCTATCTCTCTCCCTTCCTCTCTGTAAAAAATCAATAAAATATAAAGTAAAAAAAAATTAAAAATGGAACTGCCTTATGACCCAGCAACTTCACTTCTGGGAATAAAACCAAAGAAAACCAAAACACTGATTTGAAAGAATAAATGCACCACTATGTTCATTGCAGCATTATTTACAACTAGAGGCCCAGTGCACAACATGCCCAGCCTGCACCCTCTCCAATCTGGGAGTCATCGGGGGATGTCCAACTGCTGGCAGTCAGACATCCATTTCACAATCTGGGACTGCTGGCTCCCAACTGCTCGCCTGCCTCCCTGCCTGATTGTCCCTAACTGCTTCTGCCTGCCAACCTAATCACCCTTTAACCACTCCCCTGCCAGCCTGATCGATGCCTAACTGATCCCCTGCAGGCCTGATTGCCCCCAATTGCCCTCTCCTGCCAGCCATCTTCTGGTGGCCATCTTGTGACTACATGGGGCAGCCATCTTATGTGAGGGTGTGACAGTCAATTTGCATATTACCTCTTTATTGTATAGGATAGCCAAGATTTAGAAACAGCCTATGTGCCCATTAGTAGATAAGTGGATAAAAAAAACTGATAAATTTACACTTAGCCTTTAAGAAGAGGAAATTTTACTTTTTGCAACAGTATGAATGGACCTGGAGAGTATTATGATAAGTGAAATAAGCTACTAAAAGAAAGACAAATAACACTGATTTCACTTAACTGTGAAATCTGATGAATAAAACAAACACATAAAGTGGATATAGACTTAAAGATACAGAAAACAAATGATATACTGTCAGAGGGGAGGGGTTTGGTGAAAAAGGTAAAGGGATTAAGCAAAAACAAAAGATAAAGCCCCCATTCATTTAAAAAAGAAAATCAGAAAGGGGAACCTGAGCATGTAGTCATTTTTAAAAAATATATATATTTTATTGATTTTTTTACAGAGTGGAAGGGAGAGGGATAAAGATGAGAAATAAACATCAACCAGCTGCCTCCTGCACACCCCTACTGGGGATGTGCCCACAACCAATCTACATGTCTTTGGCTATCTAGAATCGAACTTGGGACCTTTCAGTTTGCAGACCGATGCTCTATTTAATGAGCCAAACAGGTTTGGGCAGCATGTAGTCATTTAAAACTCAAGTGACAATGTGCAGGTGAGGCTGGGAAGCAATTGGTTAGATGATCAAAGGGGTCGAATTTTATAATTTGGAGGCTAGAGACAGATGGAAGTACTGATGTGTAAGGCAGCTTTCATTGATGAAATTCTGTGTGATGATTGCTAGGATTATTAATTTCCCCAAGATGCTCTCCACATATTTTAAAAATTGTTTTGTATGCAGGTAAGTTAATTGACCAGCCAGGAATTAGACTGTGAGTCATTCCATAACATTAATGTTCTTGAAAGAGTACCCACCACAAATACACATGTGTTTGTTTTAAAAGATGTAAAAAGATGTAGCAAAAGGAGGAAATAGAGGTGTGGATTTTAGATGCTTTATACATCCATGCCATTATGTTAGGGAGTTTCAAATCTAAGTACTTTCTGGTTCTCTTGAAATGCCACATTTGTAATATTCAAACCTATTCATGTTACCTTCTTATTTATGGTGATGATGATGATGAGCAGATTTTCTCTCTTTTACAATATCAGTGTCTAATGTTCATTTTAGAGGCTTTTATAATTACCAGGACTTGAATAAATTGTACATGAAATAATAAAGCCAGTTTGAGACACTAGTATTTGTGGGAGAACTAAGTGACTCCAGTTTATAATTTTCCCATAATGAATGCTTTCTAAGAAATACATTTTGAATATGAACATAAACCAGTAAAAAAAAAATATGGATAAAGGAAGGAATCCTTTTAAAACAATCACCTTAGTGTTATGAGAAAATACCCGAGTCTTGCAATCTCAAAACTAACTTTCAATATTCAAACTCTCAAATCTGTTTGATTAAAAAAAGTTTATTGAGCTGTAAAATAAATACATTTCCATTAAATATTAAATAAATTATTTACAACCTGAAAAAATACTTTTTCTCTCCATGCATCTTTATATACAGATATAAGACTTAGCATAAAAATTAACAATTGAAAGTTTAAAACCATTAGGACAAGAACGTTCTGTTTTCTTATGATCCGCTGAAAAGCGGAACCAACTCATCACTCCTGATTGTGACTTCGCAGTGATTCCGATCCCTGTTCAAAAAGAAAATAAACTGTAAGAAAGAAGCTCAGTTCCAATATGGCTTTAAGAATATGTCAAAGAATCAGAATTTCTGTCAATTTTTATTTCTAGGATGTCTTATGAAAAATGCTACAAGTGTTTCAGAGTCAGACTATCACTTTGACTTAAATCCCTCTTTCACACCTCCTTTGGTTACCTGCCTACTTAGGTAGAAGGCTGCATATGCTTAAACCTGTACCATTAAATTCTGCTTAATAAGAGGCAACAACAGTAACCAAATCTATGCAGGGGACATAGTTAAAAACAAAGGTTAAGTGGCTCGGTGTATTTATGTTATACAGTTAATTTAAGATAATTAGTAGAGGAGCATAATAATAGTAGCTACCAGTTAATAGGCAGCCACCGTGTGCCAGCACAGCATATTCCTTTACCTAAAATCATCTAGAACTTACTTTGGGGGAGGAAGCAGAGAGCAAAAGGGGGAGAAATAGTGATGGAAGGAGACATGTCTTGGGGTGGTAAGCACACAATATAATATACAGATGCTGTATTATAGAATTGCACAACTGAAACCTATAAATTTTATTAACCCATGTCACCCTTAATAAATTCAATAAAAAATCAAAATAACAAATTGAAAAAGAAATCTTAGTTGCACTAAAAAAAAAAAATCCACCTTCATTCATGTTGGTAGTCTTAGCATCAGCACATTAAGTCCATACATTAATATGCTTTCATGCATAAGTACCTGAATATAGCATTAGCATGAATAACTACCCATTTCCTGAGTTTACTGAGTTAGTTATATAATAGGCTTACAATATACCAATGTTAAATGTGGTATTTTCCCAAGCAAGCATCTAGAGTGTTAATTTAAAACGGAAATGCTGATTTAGTTAATTTGGGATTTGTCTTAAGAATATGCATATTTAATAAGCATCTCAAGTCATTTTTAAACACATCAAAGGAAAAAAAATAAATGACTTAAGTGTGGGACATCTTTCCTAAATGAGGAAACAGAGTTCCTTCTTCTGACTGATTGTGTGTCTTTGAGCTCCTTGCCTCTCCCTCTTCCTCTAGAAGTTTGCTTCATTAGTGTTCACTTGGTTACCTATCAAATATTCCCTCCATACTTTCTTATCTTCTCCCTACCAACATGCTCAACTCATCTTTACAAAAAAAATAAAAACTGCAATATATACTCTAAACAAACTCTCAAATTTGCACTCCCTTCACCCTTCCTACTGTATTTCTTTAAAAGGATATTCAACCTGCTATCTCCACCTCACATTTGTAATGCAAGCATTCTGACTTTGGCTCTCCATCATGCGAGCTCAATCTATCATTTCAAACTAATCAAGTCTTCTGTCACCATGTAATTGATCTCCTTTACCTTTTACTATCTCTCCACTTTCCTTCCCACTGGAAACCACCATGCCATTGTGTGCATCCATAAGTTTTTATTTTTCTCATTTGTTCATTTACTGCTTTCAGTTTTATATCCCACATGAGTGAAATCATATGGTTCTTGGCTTTTTCTGTCTTACTTAGCTAGCTTAGTATGATATTTTCAGGATCCAAAAAAGGTGTGGTCTATATATACAATGAACTACTACTCAGCCAGAGGAAAAGATGAAAGATGGTCCTTTGCAACAATATCAGTTTCTTTCTCATGAGGCATAGTTTACTTCACCTAGTAGTCTGGTTCTTTACCCAATTTTCTATCTACTAAACACTAAGTTTGTTGATAAGAGCATCTATGTTTGTCTCATGTTTATATCCTTTATAATACTAAGGACAGAGTCCTTTCTCAATATTGAACTCCACCTCATATTCACAGAATAACATTTTAATATAGCCAGTGTTCACAGTGAATCCATAATTAAGAATACTTATTTCCCTCATTTTTCTTAACAGATGCTATACCTTTTTCCAAAATAATAGTAGGTGCTCTAATGATATCTTTTAAAATACAAACCTATAATATTATCTTCTTTTATGCTGCGATGTGTGAACTTCCATTTTCTTGTTGAAGTTTCTTTTGTTCTTCAGCTTCTCCTTCATATTCCCTGAAGTATCGCTTTCGAAGCCTTCAGAGAACAAAACATTCTACTGTCATCAAAGTTTTATTTATCATATATTCATTTGGGTTTTCATGAGTACATGAAAACCTTTTTGTGTATCTTTTATAGACCATTATACATTATACCCCACACCAAACCAAACCAACATGATAAAGTTTTTTTTTTCTTTTTTCTCCAAAGGATTATTAAATATTTCAACTTGAATAATTATAGGCTTAAATAATTACTTGGAAACATCGTTAATTGGCAACTTTTTTTCTTTCTCTCCTTCTATGTCAAATAATAATGGTTTGTCTGAGGGTATCTTTCCTAAACACATCTGAATATCTAGTTTGAGGTACTAACAGATCAAAATCATTTCTAGGGTGTGCAAAACTAATTTAAACCACAGATCAAACTTTATATGCACCATAAAACTGTTTTTTTTTTATGTGCCATTTTATCATTATCTGATCCGCATTTAAAATAATAGTAAACAATGGCAGAGATAACCCCTTGTTTCCTGAATGGCAAGAGTGGTGGATCATGTACACAATCCAGTTGTTAAAGTAATTTACTAAGACCTAAAATTAGAATAATGAGTCTATTGCTTTTCCCAAGCTCCAGTAGCACATGAGTCATCACAGAGCCATTCACACCCTCCCCCAGCTTCCTTAATTCACTAACTTCTGTTTGACAGACAATGGCATTTTGACATACCCACCAGTGTCTACAAGCTGGAACAGTCTAGTTCTAGCATTCATTGGTCATGAAGTGAAGTATGTGCTATGTTACTGTGAGTACAGAGAAGATATTGCGGGAGTGAAACAAGTAGAAGAATTGTCCCTGCTTCCTACACCATACCATAATTCCATATGGAGGAAATGTTGTGTGTTTTTAATAATCGAGTTCCCATATTGCATTTGACCATAACAACATAGACATAAATTCTAAGTAAATTAGAATCATGCTATACAATTCCTAATTTGGAATTTTGCATTCTAATAAAAGCAAAGACATATCTTTTCTGGGTTCCTGTTTTGAAGCTTTTTTTTAGTATCAAACCAACATGATAAATTTTTTTTCTTTTTTTTCCAAAGGATTATTAAATATTTCAACTTGAATAATTATAGTATCTCTGACAACCTACTTTGAACCAGGCCTTAGATTCTGGGAGGCTTGCTTAAGATTAAGATACTCGTAGTAGATACCAACACTATGAAATTTGAAAGCAGTCATGAGTAGAAATATGACATGGAACAACATGATCAATTTTCAAGTTCAAAAAATGTCTACATTTTATGGAAAAGCCTTTACATGTTAAATTTCTATGGTAGTCAAAGTAACATAAATTTATCATATTCTGTGATCTTTGTCAATGGAGTATAAAGGTATGACCAAAAACCATGTGCCACCAATGGAATAATTTATTTAAAATACCATAATATGTTATAATAAAAATATTGAAATTAATCTGGCATGATTTTATGAGAAATCTTTAAGTTATGCCATACTTACTGGACTACAATAACAGCAGCAACAGCAGCGAAGATCACAACTGAGACAAAGGCAGTTATGACTGCTAACATAATTTTTGATAAGTCACCATCAACCATGCTATGAGTCTTCATGGACTTTCCCCCACACCGTTCACCAAAATAATCCTGATGACATCTGTAAACAACCCACATTTCAAAATTATAATCTCTAAAAACATTCTATATATTTTAAGCTCACTTTCCAGATTATAGCCATTTAATTCTAATATTTAAAAAATAAGGCACTCCTTATATTTGTACTTCAAATTATAAGACATACAGTGCTTTCAAGCCAAAGATCTATTCATAGAAGAACAAGTTGAGATAAGTTTGGGTGTTATTCTGGGAAGACACACCTTTTCATTCTTTGTGCTCCTATTATGACCAGCTGATGAGTTCAGTGATTGTTATGCAGCTAATACATTCCACTATTGTTTCATGTACTAGCAGCTTTTGGGGGGAAGGACGATAGAACAACATTATGTGAAAAATATCTTAAGGTCATTTTTTACAAAGAGATTTTGTAAATCCTGTGTTGTAAAATGATGTACCAGGGGTCAGTCAACTACATACAGCCCATGGGTCAAATCTGGCCATTTGTCAGAGTTTTTAAAGTGTACAAGCCAAAAAATGCTTTTTACATTTTATTTTTTAAATATATTTTTATTGATTTTACAGAGGAAGTGAGAGGGAAAGAGTGATAGAAACATCAATAATGAGTCATTGATTGGCTGCCTCCTGCACACTCCCCATTGGGGATCAAGCCTGCAACCTGGGCATGTGACCTGACCAGGTATCAAACCTATGATCTCCTGATTCATAGATAGATGCTCAAACACTGAGCCATGCCAGCTGGGTAGTTTTTACATCTTAATTAATTACTTTTAATTGATTTTTAGAGTGAGGAAGGGAAAAGGAGAGAGAGGGAGACAGAGAGAGATACAGAGAGAGGAACATCAATGTGAAAGAGAAACATTCATTAGCCACCTCCTGCATGCCCCCTACCAGGCATCTAGACTGCAACCACCAGGCATCTAGACTGCAACCAGGGCATGTGCCCTGACTCAGAATCTAACCCTCGACCTTTTGGTGCACAGGAGGATGCCCAACCAATAGACCAACATCTCTCAGGGTTGCACAGTTACTTTTTAATTTGTTGTATAAGGTTATATACATAATCTTGACCCAAGAAGTCTAAAATATTTACTGTCTGGTTCTTTAAGAAAAGGTTTGCAGACTCCTGGTTTATACATTGGAAATATGAAAATGGTTTTCAGCAGCTGGAAGTTTCAGACATGGTGTTAGAAACACAGAATTCTAATATAATTTAGGAAAACTTACTTGCATGATACTGTTTTCAGATTCTCGATATAACTGCATTCTCCATGAATGCAGAAATTTTTAAATTTTGTATTACATGGATTTTTCTTTTTGTTTTTTCGATTTTTTCTACCTTTCTGTCCTTTTTTCTTTCTTTTGGGTTTATCTGTAGTATTTTCATTTTCTGTTTTATTTTCCTTGGGTTTAACTACCCGTTCAACTAAAAAAAAAAAAAAAGATAAAAGATTTATTGTCAAGAGTCTCTCTTCATTTTGAATAGCATTTTGAAAACATGATAGAAAGAAATCCTATTAGTGGGAGCTCATGTGAATAACGACCACATTTGTCTCATTTATTAAACACAATTCATACACAATAATAGGGCAAAGAGAATACATATTTTGTGTGGCACTTATACATCTGAACCCTTTTGTTATTTATTCACTTAGAAACACATTTTGAATTTATTTGTGTCATAATTATCATTATTGATTATATGAGTTACCTGTCCAAGAAAACCCATAAAATTTTTTGAACAGTTTTCAAATTTCTAGTAAATACCAAGTTGTTGGTACTGGACATTAATTAAATTAAACTCAAATAACAGTAGAATGTATTGTTACCCAGATGATATAGATGTGGACGCTGAAGTTGAGTGAAGATAAATGGCCCTGGAACATTCTGCTTGCAAATGGCGGTGTTGGCACTTTAAAGCCTGTCATTTTCCCACTCCATAATGTTTTCTCTTGGAAAAGGTCAATGTCATTGATTAAAGTGGGACATGGGCATATTTGTGGCTTTTATTTATTCATATGGGTCTAGTGCTCACTATCATAATTGGGAATTAGAGTGCATTGCCTGAGGGTGGAAAAACCAGAAACTTATACATTAGAGATTATTAGTTTTTTCCAACTCCCAGATTACAATGGACTATAATTAATCGAAACCTTCCAGGGGGTTCATTTCTGTGGTCAATCAATTTGAAAAAATAAAGAGTCCAAATATATTTGTTCTTGATGCTTCAGAGATTCATCCTTACTCCCAGATTTACAGAAATGATTTTTCATTGTCATAGTTATGCAGGGTATAGTTTGCCTACATGCTAAATACAGAGAGGAGGAGTTTTCATGTTAGAGCTGTGCATTTTGTCATACTCATCCCTGAATAGATTTATCTGCGCAAGTACTGAGCTAAGCTCAATGACAAGAGTCAATTATCATAATGTCAATGTCATAATCTCATTAGTCATAATGGGCCTACAGTATCCACTAAGTAGAAGACATTTGAAACATAGGTAAGGGTATCAAGATACACCCTAGTGATTAAACAACAAATAAATATTATAAATATTTCAGCAGGTTGTCACAACAGCACTAAGAATAGTCAAATTAGGAGCTATGTTTAATAGGTAGCTATTCAATTTTTATACTGAAACTTTCCTCTGATAATAAAAAAATACCACACATTATAATAAGTCCTCTTATAAGTACATTTTAAATGGATATTATTGCATTTTATCAGACATATTACAAAGTTTAGACAGATGCAAATAGTCACTATTCTGAATAACCCCTTGGATTTAATAGCCTTTCAAAAGGAGTTAAACCAACATGTTCACTCTTATCACACAATGTACTGCAATTTTAACCACTAGCCATTTTCACCACTAAAATTTTATTTGACCTTTTGAAATGTTAATATCTGGAAACATCTTTAAGAGAACAGTTTCTAGAATCTTAATGTCCTAATATAATTTCTCCAAAAATAAGAATTATAAATGGACCTACCATACATCAAAGTACAAGTTCCTAAGCAAAGGAGTAAAGTGGAGTGTTCACTAAAGCTCTTCCCACCTGTCACTTAAGCGGGTCACTGTCCTTATGGCATCACCTGTCCTCTCTCACCAGTTCTGAGAGCAGACAGAGAGGGAGAAGTCCAGGAAGCTAATGTTAATAAAGAAAGTGCCTCATGCCCTGCCTTCACAGTGGATGATACTAGGATATTTAGATCTGACTTACTGATGACCTTGTCTGCCCTCAAACTCTGAAGTAATATGAGGGTAATGAACAATCTTTACTCCCTACTTAGATACTCTCATTTTAAGTAAATGTTCTTCTTTAAAGCTAACAGACAAAGAGAAGAAAACTATGACTCACTATTATTGAGCAGACAAATGGGATTTGGAGTTAAATTGTGATTTTAAAAATATATATTTTATTGTTTTGTGTTTTTTGGGGGGTTTTTTTGTTTTGTTTTTTTACAGAGAGGAAGGGAGAGGTATAGAGAGCTAGAATCATCAACAAGAGAGAAACATCTATCAGCTGCCTCTTGCATATCTCCTACTGGGAATGTGCCCACAATCAAGGTACATGCCCTTGACCAGTATCAAACCTGGGACCTTTCGGTCCACAAGTCAACACTCTATCCACTGAACCAAATCAGTTAGGGCTAAATTGTGACTTTAGTGATGTAAAATCCATGCACATCTGTTCCATAATATTTCCAGAAGATGTTATTATAATTACATGTTATTACTGATTCAACACCTAGTGCTTAAGTCTAAAGTCCAATTGCTCCTTTCCTTTTCCTCTCCTGTTCCCTTGTGCTAGAATGTACTTCTTTAGGGAAGAGTGGTGGTGGGAGAGGAAACAGAAGCTGAGAAGCAGAGTAGACAGAACTAACAGGTGTCAGTGTCTGTCTTTCAGAATAGTTTGTGAGGCACAGTGGAAAAGAGCATAGGATCTGGAATCAGGCAGATTGGAGTTCTCACTCTGGCTCATCTGCTTGCTGTCTAATGGGAACCTTTTCAAGCTTCAGTGATCATGTCTGTAAAATGGTATCTCCTATTCATAGAGTTGTTGTGGAGATTAGTCTTAATAGACATAAAACATTAGCGATCTTGACATATAGGATGTGCCCTCTTATAGCTCTTTCCATCTCCATTTGTGGCTTACCTAGCAGGCTACACAACAGCCATACATACCTACCATAAAGCCACTGGAAGATTCAGGGAGTGGCTTTTCTTTGGAATTAGCTTTGCTCGCACACACGGCGTAGAATACATTTTTGCCTTAGCCTCCACTCACCTCTGATTGAATCATCTACAAGATAGCCAGATATGTGCCTCTCCGTGTCATACTCTTCTGCATAGTCATAGTCGATCCCCGAGGACAGTTCGCTATCAGAAGGCACCTCACTCACAAGGGAAACCTCACTTGTTGAGGTGACCTCCAATCCATCTGCACTGTGGTCCCCAGAAAAGGGTTCCCCCTTTCCAGAGTAGGTATCATTGCTGGCCGATCCAGCGGCATAATGGGCTGTGGGAGAAAGAACCAGGGGAGAAAAGGTAAAGCAGGGTGTCTTTCTCGCCAGTCAGCTGCTTTCAGGGAGAAATGTTTATCTTCTGATATCAAAGCAGTTGTTGCATAGGTGCTATTGTGGTTGCGTCACTCATGAAAGCAACTCCACGTTATGCCAACAAGCAAACTCAGCTGTTCCAATTACAGAGCTGCTTTCATCAAGGTTTTCTTTTCCAGAGAGAGTCTACATTAATTTCCACATCAAAAAAAAAAAAAAAATACTGCCAAGCAGGCAAAGGAATCCAATATATATAACTACTTAATAGGTATTGTCTAAATCTTCCCATCGCTTCACATACCAACTACATTGGTTACTATAATAGAATGCCACCTGCCCCATCATTCCTAGAACCCTAGACAGGTTCTAGAGGCCAGTATCAGATTTCCCTGACACGTGCTCACCTTTTCAAAAGCCAATGTACATAACATGTAAAAAGTAATATAGAAGGTAGTTAATAATGATTCTCAGTGTCAATTTTATTATTATTCTTCATTGAAAAAACAAAACAAAACAAAAAACAAACAAACAAAAAACGGGGAACGAGGTAAGGTGCCCCGACTTTATCCTTTAGATCTCAAGAAAGCACTGGTGCTTTGAACTTCAACCTGGGACCATAAGAGGTCCTTTAAGAAAATAAACACCAAGTCAGAATTTAGACTAGACGCCTGGTGCAGGGCTTAGGGACTCTGATTCACATCCCCTCTCTGGGCATCGCTTGGTTCCTCTGTATCTGTAAAGCGGAGGCTCTGGATCACAGGATCTCTAATGTCTCCTCTCCTCCTCCGGCTGAACTTCAGGGACAGTGGGTTCTCCCGCTCCCTACCCTCTTCCTGGCCTGGGACGATGGGACACCTGCCTGCTCTTCTCTTCCTCCCTGGAGGGAATAAGCTAAGGTGAGAACCTCCGGCGGGAGTGTTGGGGACCCAAAGGGCAGGGGTTTTTTTAGAGGAACTATTGCCGAAAAACTCAAGAGGCGACCAGAGCGGGATGTGCTCACCTGAGCCCAGGATCAGCAGCCACAGCACCACGGGCGCCCGCGGGGGCAGCGCGGCTCTCATTGGTCCCTCGGCGGCAGCGGCGGTGCAGCGGCGGCAGCGCGGAGCTGCGGCTGGAGGAGGAGGAGGAGGAGGAGGAGGAGGAGGAAGACCAGGGGGACCAGGGGAGTGAGCGGCGGTGCCTGCTGGTCCGGCCGGGCTCGGGGCGCCGCACTCAGCGCGGGGAGCTGGCCTCGGGCTCTCTGGGATCCTACTCGGGTGCTGGCACGAGGTGTGCGAAGTCACGGAGGCGCGGCGCTCACCTGGGCTTTATAGGGCGGGCGGGACTGGGCATCGCCTGGGCATGACGTCAAGGCCACCGCCGTGGGTGGAGGCCGCCGCCCCAGCAGAGGTTACTACCCCAAAACCACACACAGGATGGAGGCACCCCGCCTACCCTGAGCACAGAAAGCCGCTGGGAGGAAATGGAAAGGAAACCCCTAGCCGCAAGCAGAAAGAACAGCAGATTCACACTGGAGGGCGGGAGTGGAGCCTGTGACCCAGTATCTGACCAAGTTCCAATCTTTCAAACACTCTGAAAAACCTCCTCTGTGTGTACTTTGGTTGGTTTTGAATATTGAACAGACAGGGATTCGTCGGAACAGAAGATGTAAAAGTCCTTTAAGACGGAGTGACTTAAGGATAGGTAGCCCAATGTCTTTAACAAGGATAAATGAAATTCAATAGATGACCAGAGAGAGCGCACCTCCTTATATCTCATCCAAGGGCCCTTTCCCACCCACTACTATGAAGTGGCCACAATTTCAAACCACCTCCCTTCCCATATCTTTAGGTGGCCCAGGGCGCTCATCAAAATTGATATTTATTAACCATTTATCACCGCCTAACTATACACTTGAAATATTAAACCCTCTCAACAACTTGTTGGGTTAAGTATCATTTCCCTGTTTTACAAGGAGGACAAATGCCGGCCTTTCAAAGCAAGGAGAACTTGACACAGCTAGTAATGGCAGAAGCCAGATACATTTAAATCCACATTCATCTGACTCTGAAATCTTTCTACTCTCATGAAGGAATTTAGACTAAACTGATCTTTAAAAAGAGAGTTTCTGGAGAGAACAAAACTTAGCATAAAGAACTAATCTCTACTAGTAGCACACTGGCATATAGATGAAGAGTGGTGACCAAGACTATACCCAGAGCTGCTTAATTTGCCTAACCGTGATGTAGACACAGCCCCAGAACTGGGTTTTTCTTGACTTAAGAGAAACAAGCACTGTTCTAAGCGTTTCCATGTCCTGAAGATGCATATCTCTACCCTAACCGTTCCAGTAAAGCAGGCTTTCTAACAACGTGGTCACAGAGCATGTGTCCTAATTCTGAGAAACTTTTAAAATGCTTTTTAATGACATATCATACCGAGTAGGCTAAATGATACATTTAGCAGAATATTGTCATGACTCATGCCGCTCATATTCAACATTTATTGAGAGCATAAAGGATTCAGAAAGCAATGGAAAACAAGGATGCAGTTCCATTTCGCCCATGTGTATCATGGGAAGCTTTGTAGAAATATGGAGAGTATGCTCAATAGCTTTCCCAGCAGAAAATTTAAATGGGATATCTGGTGACCAGCTGTGACTGAGAATTGGAAATAGGCTAGAAAGATGGAGCCACCCATTCAAGGGTAAAGCAGGGGCCTGCAGTGTCATCTTTTTTGGCAGATGAGATTCAGAGCCTGCCCACAAATTTCAAAAGATGGTGGAGATTTTGTTTAGACTTCAGGCCATCAGACTACACTTTTGCACCTTTTCTGCTCTCCTAGATTTCCTTTTCTTTTTAATTCTGTTCTCCTTCCCTTTCTTGTGCTTTCTTCTTATGGAGGTCAAAGCAAGTTGTGCATTTTGTCATCAGAAATGTTTTACTTTGAAGTGAAAGTTGGCTCTTTACATTGCAACTGGAAATTTAGAGGCTGATAATTTAGATTTGTGTGGACTATAACATTGCATCATAGGACCACAATGGCTAGTACTTAGTAGGATCTTTAGATCCAATCCATTTTAATTTTCATATACAAATTCTACCACATACTGAGTTAGTTAATATTTAGAAGACTCAGATTCTTCATCTGAAAATAGGAATAAAAGATATCTATCTGCTGCTAAGCAGGTCAAATGAGATAAGATACATAAACAAGTAGCACAGATCCTAGCACTTGGTGAGTACTCAAGAAATGGTAGTTGTTATTACTAACCATGACATTATGATAATTATATTAATCCCATTAAAGAATTAAGAAACTCTTATAAATGGAGCTACTCACAGAGCAAGTGAACTAATCTCCTTCAGTATTTTCCAGCCATGCACTCTGTTCCTATTTCATATTAAGACTAACCATTCTGAACATTTTATGTGCATCTCAGGGTAACTGAGAGCATCATAATCGAATCACAATGGCATTACCAGTTGATGACTTGGGGCATTCTGGAATATATGCATGAGAAGGAAACCAACCCCATGTACGTGTGGGACTCTTTACATTCTGCATATTAAGCTCAGACAAAGGAACAATTTCAATAAATTCAAGTAGAAAAGCAATTCTTCTTTATCCTGATAAATTGATGGTTCCCTCACCTAGAATGAGGTGAAGGGCAGTCCTAAAAATAAATGTTCCCAGCCAACCACTCATTTTGGTGCCTAGTGTCTGTATCCTGATAATATTTTATACATATAGTGGAAACAAACTCACTTTGCCCATGCCAAAAGCTGTGCTACATAACCAAAGTATAATGATGTGTTTGTTCATATAATTGATCGTAAGCTTTAATGAATAGTGCCCTTTTACATCATGGCCCTTTTTATAAGTAAATACATGAATTCCCAAACAAAAATTAAGAAATTTTCTAATGTATAAGTAATGTTTCCTATATTATTAACAAATGCTTTAGTTCCATTTATATGCCTATAATTTTTAACTTTTTACCTTGGAATTTATCCATGCTAAAGAATATATGATTATAGTACCTTCATAAAGAGGTTTACATGAACTTGATTGTTTGGTACCTGGACATACTAGTAAAATCATTTGCTCTTTATAGCCTTAACATGTTTGGCTTCTGCAGATCAAGGACTAAACAGATGGGGCTGAAGGGGGTATATGGTATGATAGATGGAAACACACAAAAATGAATCATCTGGGTAGTTCATTTACTCATCAAGTATATTTGGAGAACTAGATACTCCTTGTTTTTAAGGACCTTGACTTCTATGAAGGGGGTACACATAATAAACAAAGCTCAACACATAAAATAATTTTCAGTAGTAAGAAGTGCTAGAAAAGAAACAAAATATGAGCCCTAGCCGGTTTAGCTCAGTGAACAGAGCATCAATCTGTGGACTGAAGGGGCAGGTTTTGATTCACAGGGCACATGCCTGGGTTTTGGGCTCCATCCCCAGTCAGGGCCATGCAGGAGGCAACCAATCAATGATTCTCTCTCATCATTGATGTTTCTATCTCTCTTTCCCTCTTCTTTCCTCTCTGAAATAAATTTAAAAATATTTTAAAAAGAAATAAAATATGAGATATAGAGGACTTGGGATGGTGGAGAAAGTTAATAAAAAGAAATACAAGATAGTCTCTACACTTAAGTAATTCCCAGGATAAACAGATGGTAGGCTAAAACAGAGGTTACCCTATTGAACAATAATGACAGTGTGGAAAAGCAGAGATATACATAGACAGGAATGAGGGTAGAGATAGAGAAGAATGGGGGATGATAAATAGAAACCTTGAATTGGGCTTCAACCATGTGGAAGAATTTAGAAGATTATAGAATTCCTTTCACTAATTGTTTCTCAAATACCTTTGCTAGCACAGCTAGACAAGAGCTCTCTTTAGCTTACTGAAGGAAGGCAAACTAATCGAATCACCTGAGAACCTTTTCAAAATGTTCATTCTATTCTCCTCATTTGATTCAGTAGGTTTGGTGTGGAGTATATCTATATGTATTAAACTTTCAAGAAAATTCTGATGTGTACCTCTGATTAAAATTTTCTCCACTAGGGGATGCAAAGATGAAAAAAGTCAAGGTATGTTCAGAGATATTATAAACTGGTGAGACTGTACATTCATACAGATAGAAGTTTTATTGGAAATGAGAGAGATGGAAAAATGAATTTCAGCAGAAAGCATGTGAATTAGTGTGTTGCAAACACTTACTTTACTTCTAAGAAACTCATGTTACAAATGGACTCAAATGCTATTTCTTTAAATAGGGAAATACTTTAGTATACTATTATAAAAAGATGTCTGGCCTGTGGGGGAGAGGTGTCACTTTTTATTAAGTCCTTCAGGAACCAATTTGTTGCATAAATGGAATCAGAACTACACTGAATTAATATGGAGGCTCCCTAATTGTATTCTCCAGGGAAGATCAGGAAACAGGATGTCTGCAACCATCAAATACTAAAATAGGAAGCATGTCAAATTTTAGTATGCTATTAATTCTTCATAAATTTAGGTTTTCCTAAGATTTAGCATTTTAATATTTCAGAAAAATAATATATCTTAGATGGTTGAAGTAAAGTAGAGTCCTATGAAAGGTTTTTTTCTATTATAATAATTAAATAATTATATCCTTGAATTTTAAATTATGACCAGGCAATCTTTTCTATGCACTTAACCTTTCTATAATGCATTTCTACTTTCCTTATTGTTTTTGCATTTTATTTTACATTTAATCATTCCAGTTATCACATATTCAAATATTGTATGATGACCACTTGCTGAGTTGCTGAACTTTTAAGTAACTCTTGTTACTTAAAAATGTATATCATATGCATTCCTCTAAGAATTATATTATTCTATTATTAATGATCCATATTTGATATATATCTGTTATAAGTTTAGTGTCTAAACATTCATGCATTTTTAGCCAAGTTAGGAATATGTGTGTGTGTGTTTCCCCATGAGCGCAACAGGTTTTTATTTCAAAATTCAGTGACAGTAACAGTTTTTAAATATTAGTAAAGAAATTACTAATTTTTTTTGTAGATACCACTCC